AATTTCGTAGATTTGGATTAAATGTCATGGGTTATGGCTTATTTTGGGGTATTAACTCCTTGCTTAAGGGTGTAAGTGTCAATTATAGAAACATCTCTCTGCAATCATATCCCAATGGCCCAAGAAGATAACGAAATATCTGTGACCCCTGATTTCATCACGATCTCTTTACTCTTTCCTTTTATTCTTCTTCACATACGCACATCTACATCTATATATATATACATACCCGTCTGTACCCTCTCGCTCTCTCTCTCTCTGTGTGGGTAGAAGGGTTCGTGTTTTTGTCAGAGAAACGTTTCTTTTGCTCTTTTTGTGTGTTGTTTTCTTTGGGGTAGTTTCTGTTTTGTTTCTCTTTTCCAAGGGTTGTGTTTGGTTCTAGAGAAAGCAAAGGAAAATGGCTTGTTCATCATCAAGTAAGGTTATTATGGAGAAAGAGGGGAGGCTCTAAATAATTTTATGGTGTTATGCATATAACAACCTTCATAATCCAAAATTGTGAACTATCATGATTTTCACAAATAATAACATACTCGGATCAGTTATGCGAAACCTTCGAGTGATCCATAATTGATTGAACGTAAACCTAATATCAATATTAGTGGAAAAATGTTTCTCTCTCTTAACCCTCTTTAGAATACATTGAATTCAGAATAACTTGATAGGTAGTCTGAATGTCCTTTTATATGCAGAGAGAGGACCAGTTTCCTTATTCAACAATGATTCCACTTTCCCATCAATATAGGATACTTGGAAAACACTCTTCTTTATTTACCAATTAATTGTAGCAAAAATATGGAATCATAATCCTACCAAATCTCTAATTCATATTACCATATCACGTGGGTCAACATATTGACTAAACAATTAATTTAGTCTTACATTCTCCCACTTGGCCCATATGATAACTTACATTAAGATTTAACAAGGTTAACATTAGGCGCGCAATAAACCATATTCAATATTACATTTAATTTGTTTATCATCATAATACTATAATTAAATAGTTCACTAATGTGAGTCATGGAGATTCTACACCAATAGTGCGACATAGTCCCTTCCATGTACTACAACACTTGCAACTAGTTTAATATAGCCCTTTAAGTGAAGAGTATAAAGAGGTCCAACGATAATGTCATTTTATGAAAGACTATTCCTGTTATCATTCATTCATTCATTCTCATATATGTACGTACTCATTTCAAAAAAAAAAAAAAAAAACAATCACAAGTGAAAAAAGAAAACCTGTGCATCTAGATTTGGTAAGAAGACTTTCAATGAGTTTTCTATCAACCAAATTGTCATCAACAGCCAAAACATGTGACCTCTCCTCTTTCTCCATAATAACCTTACTTGATGATGAACAAGCCATTTTCCTTTGCTTTCTCTAGAACCAAACACAACCCTTGGAAAAGAGAAACAAAACAGAAACTACCCCAAAGAAAACAACACACAAAAAGAGCAAAAGAAACGTTTCTCTGACAAAAACACGAACCCTTCTACCCAGAGAGAGAGAGAGAGAGAGGGTACAGACGGGTATGTATATATATATAGATGTAGATGTGTGTATGTGAAGAAGAAGAAAGAGTAAAGAGTAAAGAGATCGTGATGAAATCAGGGGTCGTAGATATTTCGTGATCTTCTCGGGCCATTGGGATATGATTGCAGAGAGATGTTTCTATAACTGACACTTACACCCTTAAGCAAGGAGTTAATACCCCAAAATAAGCCATAACCCATGACATTTAATCCAAATCTACGAAATTTTGTTTGATTTTTGTTAATAAAAATAGATTTTTTTTAATAACTATTATCATTTTCTTTTTTCTCTCCACAAATTGTTCATCATCATTCTCATTTGTTCTTGTTATATATATGTATGATTTCTTGGATTAGATTTGTTGTTGATTTCTTAAAACTCAAGAAATCAAACCACTTATCAAACCCATTTAAGAAATCAACAACAAATCTAATCTAAGAAATCATACATATACATAACAAGAACAAATGAGAATGCTGATGAAAAATTTGTGGAGAGAAAAAAGAAAATGATATTAGTTATTTAAAAAAAAATTATTAACAAAAATCAAACAGAATTTCGTAGATTTGGATTAAATGTCATGGGTTATGGCTTATTCTAGGGTATTAACTCCTTGCTTAAGGGAATAAGTGTCAGTTATAGAAACATCTCTCTACAATCGTATCCCAATAGCCCAAGAAGATCACGAAATATTTGTGACCCTTGATTTCATCACGATCTCTTTACTCTTTACTCTTTCTTCTTCTTCACATACACACATCTACATCTATATATATATATATATACATACCCGTCTGTACCCTCTTGCTCTCTCTCTCTCTGTGGGTGGAAGGGTTCGTGTTTTTGTCGAAGAGACGTTTCTTTTGCCCTTTTTGTGTGTTGTTTTCTTTGGGGCAGTTTTTGTATTGTTTTTCTTTTCCAAGGTTTGTGTTTGGTTCTAGAGAAAGCAAAGGAAAATGGCTTGTTCATCATCAAGTAAGGTTATTATGGAGAAAGAGGAGAGGTCACATGTTTTGGCTGTTGATGACAATTTGGTTGATAGAAAACTCATTGAAAGTCTTCTTACCAAATCTAGATGCACAGGTTTTCTTTTTTCACTTGTGATTGTTTTTTTTTTTTTTTGCTCATTTTTTTTCTTTTTTCTTTTTAATTTTTTTTTTAATGATTGATCCAATTTTAATCATAAAAGAAATAAAATTTGATAGCTTCTATTTTATATGTTTTATAATGGGATGGTCTTTTTTGTTTGGAAATTGGTTTGACTTTGTGGATATTTTTAGTTTGGTGCTAAAAAGTTCGTTTGGATTGGATTTTTTAATTTTTTTGACTTTTAATAAAATAAAATAAAATAAGTGAAATGATTATATTTGGATATGATTTTTTATCTTATTAATTTTTTTTTAATTTATTTATTTATTTTTGACTAAATTAACTCCCAATCTGGAAAAAAATAAAATAAAATGAGGGCTAAGGCTTATCAACAGTAATTGCCCTTTTTTTTGTTTGGAAAGTGGTTTGACTTTGTGGCTATTTTTAGTTTGGTGCTAAAAAGTTCGTTTGGATTGGATTTTTTAATTTTTTTGACTTTTAATAAAATAAAATAAAATAAAGTGAAATGATTATATTTGGATATGATTTTTTATCTTATTAATTTTTTAAAATTTATTTATTTATTTTTGACTAAATTAACTCCCCCCCCCAAAAAAAAACGAGGGCTAAGGCCTATCTGTAAGAATTTTTTCTAAATATGGCTTAATGTGGCTTATACATGATTATACTAGATTCATCTCATTAGGCAAGATACATGTACATCAATTAGATGGTGACTAATCATTGATGAATGCACCTATATATATATAATGTATAGAAGACTAATGGAGATAGTGACAACGCATTGAATGTGATAGATTTATTATGAATGAATTTTAGAGATGCGTTATGTATCTATTATGAATGTAGAAGATACATTAATCTATCTAATGAGTTCATTAATATAGAAGATGCATTATGTATCATGAATGTAAAAGATGCATTATGTATCATGAATGTAAAAGATACATTAATCTATTTAATGAAATTCATTGAATGAATGGATTCTTTGATGGGAACGTTCATTAAAAGATGCATTATGTCTCATGAATGTAGAAGATGCATTATGTATCATGAATGGATTCATTGAAGTTCATTAAAAGATACATTAATCTACCATGGATCAAGATACGTATACACTTATTTTGTATAGTTCAGATTCATATAGTTTTCATGTATAGAACTAAATCCTTATTGGTTTTTAGTTTATGTTCCGCAAAGTTTTCTATCAATTGGTATCAGAGCCTTTGTTCTCAATTCTGATGCATGAAACGTATAAGTATGAATTTCATTTTATGATGATGTTTTGTGTAACAAGTGCATAACCTTAATTTACACTTGTCCAATTTTATTTTTATTTTTGGCCAATCTTTTATTCTATTGATATTAAAACAAAAATTGAAAACTATTGAACAAGTGGTAATTAAGATAATGTCTTATGCACTTATAATGTTTTGTTACACACCTTATGAGTTGAAACATTGTTGATCACCCCAACGAAGGTTCAACACTATGTATGGTTGAATAACCGAGATGATTAGTATAATAAATATAGCAATAAGTTTTTTTGCCCAACGGTGATAAACTTCTCACGTGCTTGAGTTAATAAAAAAAAAAATAAGAAACATTGAGTTTTTCTGCCCAACAGTGATAAACTCGTTACGGTCTTAATGATTATTTTATTTTATTTTATGCTGTTTATTTTTATTAGTCATCTCATTTACTTTTATGAATTGCTAAAATATATAGTTATTCGGCCCAATGGAAGGATAACTTGATTTCGTATCTTACTAATTATGTTTTCTAGTTAGATATATTTAACTTGTGGTGTTATTTTTATTCATGTGAAAAGTTGTTTTCTTGATTATATTATGTAATGCATATTATGTGTTTGCAGCATTGAATCCTACTGCAATTAATAGTTACTTGTCGGGTATTGAAGCTTTGAGTGGAACCAATTTTAAGAAATGCAAGGAACAAATTGGAATTGTTTTGGGAATTATGGATTTAGACTATGCATTAAGAGAGCCAGTAGCTACAAAGCCTAATGATATGAGTTCTAAGGAACACATGGATTTATATGAAAAATGGGAACACTCTAATTGCTTAAGTCTAATGATTATGAAAGGCTCAATTATGCTTGCAATTCAAGGAGCACTCCCTATTTTTGAAAGTGTAGTGAGCTATATGAAATCTATAGAAGAACAATTCATTGGAACTTCCAAATCCCTTGCTACTACTCTCATGATTAAAATGATGACAATGAAATATAATGGTTTGAGTGGTGTTCGTGAACATATCTTATAGATGAATGACATGGCCTCTCAATTAAAGGGAATGGACATGGAAATTTCTGAAGGTATTCTTGTTCAATTCATTATGACTTCTCTTCCTGCGCAATTTGGTCCTTTTAAGATCAATTATAATACGCTGAAAGATAAGTGGAAGATGAGCGAGTTAATTGCCATACGTGTTCAAGAAGAAGATAGGCTTAAAGCTAAAAAGCCTGATATAGCACACCTTACCACCTTGGGTCCAACCAAAAAGATTTTCAAGAAAGGCAAAAGTAAGAAGAAAAAGAATACAAATGATGAAACTCACAAGGCTAATGAAGAAAATAAGATTCGATGTCATTTCTGTCGAAAGAAAGGTCACATAAGAAAAGACTGTTCAGGTTTTAAAAGTTGGTTGGACAAGAAAGTTAACACTCAATACTTTGTGTCTTATGAATCCTTTTTGGTAGATGTTCCACCAAATTCTTGGTGGATTGACACTGGTACAAGTATTCACATAACAAATTCCATGTAGGGATGCCTTACAAGTCGGAAACTAAATAAAGGAGAATGAACCACTACGGTTGGGAATGGAATAGAAGTGGACGCTGAGGCTATTGGCACCCTCCGTCTAATTTTAGACTCTGGTTTCATTTTAGATTTAGTAAACACAATTTATGTTCTTGTTTTTATTAGAAACCTAATTTCTATTTCACAACTTGATTCCTATAGTTATGAATTTAAGTTTGGAAATAATAGAGTCTCTTTATTCCACAATTCTTATATGATTGGTTCAAGTACTTTGTATGGTAATCTTTATTCATTGAATTTAGATTCCACTTATGCACAATCTTTTTTATCCTTTCATGTAAACGACTTGGTAAATAAAAAGAGAAAGCGAGTGAATAAAAATTCATCCATGTTGTGGCATAAGCGCTTGGGCCACATATCAAGAGAAAGGATGGAATGTCTTATTAAAGACGAAATTTTAAGTTCGCTTGATTTTTCTGATTCTAGTACTTGTGTGAATTGCATTAAAGGAAAATACACAAAGACAAAGAAAAAGGGTGCTACTACGACTACTGAATTATTAGACACAATTCATACTGATATATGTAGTCCCTTTACTGTTCCAACTATTTCTGGACATAAATATTTTATTAATTTTATTGATGACTTTTCTAGGTATACTTATGTGTATCTTATTCGTGAAAAATCAGAAGCACTGGATATGTTCAAACTCTATAAAGCTGAAGTTGAAAATCAACTTGGTAGACGGATTAAAAGTGTAAGATCTGATAGAGGCGGTGAATATTATGGTAGATTCACTGAGTCGGGTCAAAATCCAAGTGTTTTTGCTTTATTTTTAGCTGAGAAGGGTATTATTGCTAACTACACAATGCCCGGTACACCTAAGCAAAATGGCGTAGCTAAGCAACGAAACCGTACTCTTTTGGACATGATGAGAAGCATGATGAGTAACTCTTCTTTACCAGATTACTTGTGGGGTGAAGCTTTAAAAACTGTTGTACATGTTCTTAATAGGGTTCCTAGTAAGGTTGTGCCTGTAACTCCTTATGAGTTGTGGGTTGGTAGGAAACCTAATTTGAATTATTTACATGTATGGGGTTGTCCTGTTGAAGCAGCAAAAAATTTTAACCCTTTGCACCCCTTTTTAATTAAGGAAACTTATTCTCCTGTTTCTAATAAGGATTCCTTGAGAATAGTCATGGCTTTAGTAGCTCATTATGATTTAGAGTTATATCAAATGGACGTTAAAACAGTCTTTTTAAATGGTGACTTGCATGAAGTGGTCTACATGGACCAACCTAAAGGTTTTCAGGATGAAAGCAAGGAAAATATGATTTGTAGGCTTAAGAAATCCATATATGGTCTAAAGCAGGCATCTCGACAATGGTATCTAAAATTTCATGAAGTTCTCACCAAATTTGATTTTAAGGATAATGTGGTTGATCAATGTGTCTACCTTAAAATCAGTGGGAGCAATATCTGCATTATAGTTTTGTATGTTGATGATGCATGGCTTGCTAGCAATACTTTGGGAATGATACATGAGACAAAGAAATTTCTTATGAGAAATTTTGAAATGAAAGATCTTGGTGAAGCCTCTTTTGTCATTGGGATAGAAATTCACCGAGATAGGTCTCGTGGTATTTTAGGATTGTCCCAAAGAGCCTATATCGAAAAGGTTCTTAAAAGGTACAACATGCAGAACTGTTCAAGTAGTGTTGCCCCTATAGTTAAGGGTGATAAATTTAGTGAATTTCAGTGTCCCAAAAATAATTTAGAAAGGGAACAAATGAAAGAAATTCCTTATGCCTATGTATGCTCAAGTTTGTACACGTCCTGACATAGCATTTGTAGTTGGTATGCTGGGTCGATACCAAAGCAATCCCGGACTTGATCATTGGAAAGCAGTTAAGAAAGTGTTGCGATATTTACAAGGCACTAAGGATTACATGCTCACTTATCAAAGAACAGACAGCCTTGAAGTAATTGGTTATTCTGATGCTGATTATGCTAGATGTAAAGACACTCGAAAGTCCACTTCTGGGTACATTTTTATGCTTGCTAATGGACCCATTTCATGGAAGAGTCATAAGCAGACTCTGACAGCTTCTTCCACTATGGAGGCAGAATTCATAGCATGTTATGAAGCGCGCATGGGCTTAGTAAAAATTTTATCATGTTTAGACTTGAAATGGGTGTATTATGTTCGTGATAAATGTTATGTTATAATCATCTTATGTCAGTAATGATTATGTTTGTTGTTTTCATTCTTCATACTTGTGCACAATTTAGAAGAAGATATAAACAACGGGACCATTATAAATGAATTAGCATTAATCACCATTATGTTACTGTCACGACCCAAACCCGCCCCTAAGGGTTTAGCATCGTAACCGGCCAGTAATCCGTGATTACCAAAAGCCTGCTTAACGGTAATAACAATAGTACATAGTAAGGGGCTGGCGGAAGCCATATAGTAAATAAAAGATGTCCAATGAGCTGTGAGAATCTGGATAGAAAAAGACTTTTATGGACTAGTCCACATTCATAACCATAAACATATATACATATTAGATACATATAACATGCAGGTTAGGGATCCAATCCCTACACCATAACTGTACAGTCAAGTCTTAAACATGCATACATAACAGAGACAAAAGGGTGAATCTGAAACACCCCAAAAACAGCCTTAACTTGAGAAGACTTGGAGCCTTGAAGTGAGGCACAACGGTTGGCTTGACAAAACATGAGCTTAACTTGACGCTTCTAGCGTCGGTCCGATGCCTGCCCACCTACATACATATATAAACTGAGAACTAAAGCCCAGTGAATAACGAATGCGTAAAGGGGTTAAGCATGAATGTCATTTCAGTAATTAAAACAGTCATTTGCATCAGTAGATCAGTTATTCAATCAGTGGCTCATATTTCATGCCATATCAGTCAATTAGAAATCATAACAATCATATGTGGTACATCCAATAGCAAAACAGTATAGTAGGTCTTAACAGACCGAACAGTCAGTTGATGGCCATCGAAATAGTATAGAGTATTGGTTCCAAACATTGGAACTAACAGAGATCTCTGTGACAGTAGCAGTAATAGTAACAGTACAGTAGAAGTAACAATAACAGTAACAGTAAGTTGCTATGGTTGTCATGAGTACAGTTTATAAGATAGGACAAACATTCATTCAGTAAACAATGTCCTTTCAGAAAGCAGTACAGTCGATCATTCAGAAAATAATTTTAATTGAACATATCTTTATAACATTGTTACTCACAGATTACTGGGCTATAGACAAGCTAATCAACGTCCTCGGGTGCCAACCCTACACAGTTGCAGAACGAACACACACTAAGTTACACACTTGGGATTAATAACTTAGCCCCTTAACTTGACTTGGTTTGGTTCTATAACATTATCCTCATTAAGGTTCCTTAAACATGGCCTAGGAATGCCTAGGATGGGATGAGGATGCAAAAATGTACTTTAAAACACTTTTCAAAATTTGTTGAAAATAGGGGTCTTGCTCGAGCGTAGCTTTCTCCACTCGAGCGAGCTTACCAAAACAGAGGGATCGCTTGAGCGTAGACTCCCTCGCTCGAGCGGTCTGTAAAAATGCAAAAAGTACTGATTGCTGAAATTCTCTGCTCGGTGCTCGCTCAATGACCGCTCGAGCGTGAGACACAGTTCCTCGCTCGAGCGTAGGTGTCGTTGCTGAGCGTGCGTCTGCACACGCAAAAACTTGAGAGCTTGCAATCTACGCTTGAGCCAACATTCCGTCACTCGAGCAAATCTTTGAACACAGGTGGTCGCTCGAGCGTGGAAGCCAAAATCTAGGTTTTTCAAATTTGCTTCCAAAGCTCAAACCAAGAACCAAACATACCAAAACTCATCCTTTTGGGCCAATTTTCTGGAAAACACTTAGAAACTCATAATACAACATGTTTTGGAGATCATTTTATAAAATCAAGCCCAAAGGTGTGACAATTGAACACAATTTGTACTGTAAGCTTGAAGAACAATGCAAGAACATAACATGCATGAGTTCTTAAGAACTCTAATGCTCCAAGGTATGATCAAATGCAAGATTGAGCTAAAAAACATGGTGAATTTCTAGAATATAACTATAATATGGACATGCATGTGGAAATTCACATGAGAATGATCTCAAGATTCAATGATATGGACATGCATGCAAACATTGCTACTCAATACAACACGTTAAGCTAACTCTTGACTCCAAACATCAATTTTCCCATGAACCATGCATGTAACAACTTAAATTCATAATTAAGAGAATGAATTTCCTACCTTAAGTCTTGAATTCCAAGTGTAGAAGCCTAATTTCTCAAGTCTTCTTCAATTTCCTCTAAGTTTCAAGCCAATCTCTTGTTGAATCAATCTATCTTCCAACTCTCTCTCTCTCTCTCGATTTGGTCTTGAGAATGGAAAAGATGATGTATCAAATGTGTGAATTAAGACTAAAACAACAATT